AGGCTAAAACGACTCGTGATCTGAACCTACTTGCTCAGATCTGTATGACTTCTGCTCTGCTATACGACGCCTCAGTATATTTTGAAACTTTGAACGAAAGGCGTTACACTTAAATTCGACGAATGTTCCAGATTTTGGATTATATATCAGGCCACAACTTGCAATAGCTTAAGAGTCAGGTCGTCATTACCGCTGTCAAAGGAGCAATCAAGCTGAGGACAACAGTTGTTTTTTCACATTCGACCCATCCTCTGCACAAGGAGCTCAATGGTGGTAGACTCTGAGCTAAGAAATACATCTGAACTAAATGCTAAGCGCTTTCATTCATTTTTGATGTCGAACGGAAGCGTTTCATTGTTCATCTCTTCCCGCTGATCAGCAGTTGCCTTACTGACAAAGATCGTTAACATGTCTTTCTATGGGATAAGCGTGAAATGAATTGATAATCTCACCGCATTATCAGCTTCATCCGCTGCTCCATTTGCACAATGGAAACCAAAGGTGTAAGATGCAACTGGAATGGTCCGTGGGTGGCTCAAGTAAATGGTTTGAACTGAATTGAATATGACAAATTTTTTCATCTTATGCTTCTAATGACTGACTACGGCAAGAGGGTGAAAACACGTAATCGACGTTATTTATCAGGTACACAGCCAGAGTAGTGATTCACAAATTAAACCTTCAGCATAACAGTAATATTAGAGGCCTTCGTTCGACAATATTGTTCCAGACAAGCTGATTAAAAAAATCTATCCATGTGCCTGGGAAGGTAAATTTAAAAATTCGATGCGCATAAACGATGGAGATGGCTCCATTTCTAATTGGTATGGGTATAACTGTCAAGGACGACAGATATCTATCCAATAAAGCGGCTTATTCACTGAGAGTGATAGTACGACGGACGCTAAGGAAAATGAATACTGACAGAGGAATGTTAGAACCAAACGAATAAATCGAGCGCGGACGTGCAAATGGCAGCAAAAAAACAGTCCTTCAACCTGGCTGCAATCTGTTAAGTGGAACTCAATTAACCTCAATGAATAAGACACGACAGATGGACGTGCCATCAGCACAGATAAAAATTTCAAAACTCGCCGAAATGCGAGTATGGAGGGGATGGTCAACTGATGGACCATCTTACCGCCGGATGTCCGCTCTATGAACTCAGCGGTGGTACTGCACAAGTACACAGCGTTTGAAGCTGCCCTCCTAGAGTGGCTTTCCACTGATTCGCTTCTAAGGGTCATACGGACAGAAGAAGCAATAACAACAGGATATATGCAAAAGGGTAGGCGGAATTTTTCCAGGAATGGACCAGGAACATTGAAAGCATAGGCTGCTTCGATGTTAATTAAAGTTTATTCACGACACTGAATGTTGCTCACAAAAGAGGAAATCGAAGCATTGACGGTTGCTACCTGTTTTTGCGGTCATTCATGTCAACGAACTCAGGCAGAACCGGCGGCATGATGGAGATATATCCTCAGGCACGAAAAGGAAAATACCGGGTGGTGTGTATAGGCGTGACGGCGAAAGCGGTGGTGGTGGTGGTGGTTATGACAAACTCATGTTCACCAATCAATCGACCGATCGGTAGTAAACAGCGGCTGTTGACACGCGCGCCACCAAGCGTTGAGTTACTGGCAACGAAGCGACTCGGCGCAGCAGAGAAGTGGTCGTCGAGGTAGAAACCACCCACATCGGCTGCTTTCAACGGTCATTTCTCGACTTCATCACCGAAACTTGGTCGTGCTAGCCGCTGCCGGACGTTGTTCGTGTGTTTGGTCTTGTTCGCGTACTCGCTGCTTTGAGGATTGGCTGACCCGTTCGAACGATGACTTCGCTCAAGGCTCCGTTGTACAACTACGTCAGCTTCGACGCAGGCAATGGTCTGATGGTGAGGGCTGTTTAGCTGTTTATCTTACTACCTTACACATAACCTTGCCTTAACTGATGCTTCATACGTTTCGTCGACTGGTCAGCATTTGACCTTTCGCGCGTAAAATCAGTAGCGACAGGAAAACGGTCGAACAATCGAACACTGCGACATAGAATTTTAACATTGACCATGTACGTCAACACAGCAGCGTAGGGTTGTCGTCGAACACCTCGAGCAGAAGGTGATGTTAGACGGTTTGCTCCGTTGGACGAAACAAGGTGCAACGCAAACACGGGTTTGTCACCTCCGGTCATCATTTCGGGAATGGACACTTCAACGACTGTTGACCGTCTACCCCCGGCACAACCTTGTCCAGAAGTTGTTCAGCCGGAAGTGTTTACGGCGGCGAACGGATGCGCCAGCGAACGTGACAAGTCAGCGTAAACACACGGCGGGTGTAAACTTTAAACCTTTGGCGAAAGTAACTATGATCGCAGTACGTCCATGCAGATCAGTTGTGATATCACGAATGGCGTGACCTGTGTGAAACATCGTTGTGACCCGTGGCGAAGCAAGCAGCAACCGCAACGGAAATCCGAGGCACGATTTTGTGTACGGGACCGACATCGTTAATCGATAATAATCGAAAGTACAGTCGTATTCCTCACACACCTCTGCTGCCTTAGGAGACGATAAGAACCATAGCCATACAGCAGCGGTCGTCAGTTGCGAGTCGAGTGTTGTGTCTGATGACAAGGCGACTGATCAGGATTGAAAATCACCGTCTGCTCACCGGTACCCATGAGTCTCATGGCGGCCAATCGTTGTTTACCTTAGGCGCAGAGTTAAACATTATAGGGCAGCACGGACTTAACGACCGCCATCGACGTGCGTACCATGGTTAGGTTTTGCTTTCCGAAAAAGCCGATCGACGCCGCATCGAAAGAGATCGATATGTGCATTCTCATTTGGCCATTAACAAACAGTGAGTTGCTCGGTGACGATATATGGTTCAGTTTGACTGCTGTACGTATAAAGTCGCATGCTCTAAGCCTGTACCCTTAGCAGAATCGGTCCTGATGATGAGAAGACCGCCAGCGGGGCGGATGTGGTTTGGGCATGTCATCAAAGTGACGCAAACTAGGTAGTGACTGAACGATCCATTGATCGTGTTATTCAAGCACTGAAACACATGTGCAATTACTGACATGTTTACTTCACTTTGAGGACGTGTCTAAACATGAGGCAGCTTCGTCACTGCCGGCTCTGCCAGTTCACAGCAATAACAAAGAGGTAAGAGGAAACGGAGTACTTTTCGATTATTACAACGACAATGTCAATATCTCTTCAGTGGAATATAGTTCTCACTTTTCGAATTCGTGAAGAATATTATTTTATCAGATGCTCGGTACCCTCCGTAAGGCACTGTTTTATCAGAAGCTCCTTTCTTCTTGATCTCGAGTCATCAATTCCTGTTAATGAGGTGGATGACTCGGCGAAAAATATTTTTACGTCGTTTCTTCGTGGATTAAATAGGATGGTGACTGTCATTCATTTTCCGTCTGGGTTTAAGGCCTTCTTTTAAATGGATCTACCTTGATAAGTATGAAGAGATTATCCCGCCTACAAAGGCTTCCTCATATCTAGTCTCTTTCACTGTTACAAAAGCGCCTCACGAGGATACACTCTACTGTAATTCGCACTTTTATGCAATCCCGGACTTCGACACTCCGTACAGTGGATGACATATTATGGAAGACACTTGTCTGATGAACGGTTGTTTTTTGAAAGTTAGCTTAGCAAAAGAGGAAAATGCTTAATTACCGATGGAAATATACGTAGAATACGAGCTTATACTATTTTGCATTTTAGTTTACACCACGTACCATTCGCTTACACGAATACTGCCACAGTGAATGGCAATGTTTGCCATTACACAGGGTTTCGGCGACATTCCACCGCTCCCTTGCTTCTGCGATGCCTAAAGGGAAAATTTAAGCAGGTCACGGTTCCGTGCATTTGATCACAGGCAATACACGAATGCAATACAACATCACTGAGTAGGTTACGAACTCAGAGGCTATGACTCAGACAAATTAACATGTCCATGGTACCTTCGATAACGGAGACAAGCACAGAAAAGGAATCGACAGTGTACCTTTGTATAACTTTTTAAACTCACACAAATACCTTTTCGCTCATAACCGATGTCTTTCGGTTAAAATACCGAATGGTTACTAAAGTAATAATCTTTTGCTTTCTTTCGTGCTGTCAAGCAGAGAATTAGGATTTTCGCTTCCTTTACTTTTCTATGATTATTTATTTATTTAAAAGAATTAGACAAAGCCTTTTCACTTTAGACATTTTCGTGACTGTTTCTAATTTACTGCGCTAATTTGGCCCCTACGACAACTGTTATCTGAAATATATGAATTCGAAACAGGGACGAATTACTTTCTAAGCGTTTTCATCTTAACCGCTAAGTGAAACTGGTTTTCAAAAACAATCCCGCATAACTAAAACCCGTCGTAAGCAAAAGCAGTGATGAATATTAATGCCGTGAAGTATGTCAAACAAATCCGAATCACGACGTTGAACATGTTCCACCATCGTCGTCGATCGATTTTCTTTCGGGTGTCTGAGATTGGACAACAAAACTGGAACCATAGATTTGGAACGAAGATATGGTGAAAAGAGTAAAATGATTGATGGCACTTTTGTTAGGGAAGTTATCGTTATATGCTGCTGAAGATTGGGCATTGAGGTCATTGAAATGAAGAGCAGGGAGGGAATAGCAGAGGTAGGATAGGAGGATTTCCATCTGGTAGAAGGTAGGGGTGAATAAGTTATCATATTTCATACCAAATGTATAAAAATAACTGTAACTTACACACTGTGGTGATGGGTTCGGACGAACGAAAATCGGTTCAGAATGGGAGATGATCCTGTCTACTTACAATAACAACAATAAATAGCGAAACATTCGGAACCGGCAATAAACAGAGAAACAGATCACGAATGAAATGAATAGTGATGCAGAGACGGCTTGCGACTAGAGAGAATGGCAGAAGGTGGGGAATTCGAAATTGGGGCGGGAACGTTGCCAATAGAAGTTTAAAGTACTACTATCGAAAACGTACTCCCTCGAGACTATCTCTGAGATTTGGATTCAGAGAGTAGGTTTCCTAACAATGCTCGGTTAACAAAGCAATTTAACTACTTCTAATCCATTCCATGGTTGAGATTTCTAACCCATGCCTCGAATGAGAAGGTTGAGGAAATGTGCGTATAAAATATCCGCACAGCTCTGATTTTAATGAACCTCTGTGCATTCGTGGTGGTCAGTAAAATCTACTTGTTACGGGAAGCCACGTTGACACGGAAAGCGTATCTCTGGACCGCGCAGGGTTGTCATTAGATTCGACCCTACAGCGAACGCCATAGTCTGCCCATTGCCTGTCTTTCCATGGTGAGACACTTTAACATTCCAGTGTGTGCCATCGCGAGGTGAAAGAAATGAGTCAGGAAACCAAAGGAAACGCGGGATGCCATTGTTCACTTTCAGGTGGTACTACGGACTTCAGGGTCTACGCTGATTCACTACGACTACGAAGAATTTGTGAGAGAACGCGCTACGTAGTGAAACGTGTCAGTTGAAAGAATTTTTCAACCAGAACACTAGCTGCACATTACTTATGCAGAATGCAATAAAAGTAAATGATTTCCGAAGCTCATTGAAATTCTAGGTTCTTCGATAAATTGTAAATTAAATTATTCTGGTCACCTTGAGACGGGCGGGTGGTAGTCTTTATTGCAGCTGCCGATATTTCAGCTGAATTGCATTGGTCATCATCATGGCAGTGATAGACAGTCAGTGTTGTCTGCCATTCTGAGACTACCGTTTGTCTGTTTTCCTGTGTCTAAAACTACTTAAGCTGCTGTTTAATGAATCGAATTAAGTTAATGATGCGACTGACGCAGTAGTTCTGCACATGGCCGTAATCTGATCGAACACAACAGAGTTTTACCATCTCCTACGTCTCGACCGTATGAAACGGTCTTCTTTAGGGATACTAGCAAACTAAATGTTAACAAAGATATTTTACATACTATAGTACAAAACGCTAGCATACAGGTTATACGAGACCGCAGGATAGTTCTCATAAGGTCGAACGGCTACTCAATTAGTGCTATGCGCTAGCTGAACTTCATATAAATCATTTTGAGACAAGAGCATTACAACTTTGTCCTCTTGATAACAAATTTATTTTAGATTTTCGCTATATTGATGATATTCAGCTTCAGTCAAGACAAGACCTCATTTTCAGTCTCTCGTTAACTGTATGAATAAATTAGTTAGCGTCAGCCATTGAAATTCACCCCTTGATCTTGCAGTTACCAACCAGTTGCTTTTTTTGACATTTTACTAAAGCACAACTCTAATGAGTTATTCGCTTTTTCTGTACATAGGAAGCTCAAGCATTATAGCAGATACTTAAATCCGGTTTCGTGCGATCATAAATCTTTATCAACACCATTAAGTAAATGCAGTAAAACTCTGCTCTAACCATTGCTTCTTGCTAAGGAGTTGACGCATCTTTCCATCTCATTTCGTATGAATAGCTGTTCCCCGTATAATAAAATCTGCTTTTAATTAGCCAGAGTAAGAGGCTGTGCTCCAGGTATCCGAACTTGGTCTTACTCAGCCTCCCGAGGAAACTCTGCGATGGGGGTTAGAAAGAAGATGCTGAGAAATAGCCGATTCTGAAGTCCAAGAAAAGCAGCGTTGCTTCCGGTCAGACCGACACATATCTGCGATATCTGAGAAATAATGTAAGGTCGCTCATCCGATTTACGTGCTTTGTAAACTCGTAGAGCCTACTATCGGATTCCACGCAAAAAGCTGTGGGCATGCTTGCAGAAGACTGAGACTGACAGCCGGTTGTTACGACCATTCCAATCACTGTACGTTGATGACAGGTGCTGCGTCAGAGTAAATGAAATTAGATCGAGATCTTTAAACACTGCCATTGGTCTCCGCCAAGACTGCATCCTGTCCCCTCTCCTGTTTCTGTTGTACATGGATAGAATAGTCAGGAGTAGCCAAGGCGATGAGTGTATCGGTGTAGGAGATGTGAAGACGAGAAGGTTGGTGTTTGCAGGGTTTTGTTCGCATCTAGTGAAACTGACCAGCGCTGTGCGGAGAGGTTCGCAACCGAATGTGATAGCAAGGAGTTCTGAACCAAAGGCTTAGTGCATTCTTTCCCTCATGTCCGCGCCACTGTGGAGATAAACGGAGGAGCAGTGGGGCAAATGGAAAAGTTTACGTCCCTCGGTGTAGTGTTTACTCATGACTGAAGACGACCGGAGTGACCGACCGGCGAATTGGAGTAGCCAGTGGTTTTCTGCTTGAACTGGTCCGAACCGTTGTGAGTAGAGCAGAT